CAAAAATCAGATTATATATATATATATATATATATATATAAAACACCTTGCTAAATGTACTGCATTAGGCTAACCGAGACTTATTACAGCACTTGCATATTATTGCTCTTTTGTTGGTTTTGATGTCTTCTAGGGCTCAGCAACAGCTGAGTAAAACTGTTTTATCTGAGCATGTGGCACTTTAAGCATTATCGTATCGCATATCGAATATCGCATTATTTAATGAGTTATCGCATATCGCATTTTTCTTCAATATCGCACAGCCCTAAATTGTCTTCTATTGTCTTAATTTGTAAGTCGCTGTGGATAAAAGCGTATGCTAAATGTAAATTTGTTAGTTGTTCTATTCTATTCTATAATAAACATTTGATATGATTACAGCAGTGTGTCTTGTTCCTGGCACAGATATTCAACATCGATCAATATGTTTGTGTTTATTGATTGTGTTTATATGAATCATATGAAAACATCAGAGAACACTTTTATGCACACACTCATAGCATCTGATCGGTTCCTGAAACATAAAGCTTTTAGAGAAACTCTGAAATCATTCTGAGATGAGAAACAATTTAGAGACTTGATAAACGAACAACAAGCGAGCTGAAGAGAGACCGGTTACTGGAGAGAGCAGATGAGCGAATGAAACGTAGCCCTTGTACGTAAGAATGGGCGTGGCCATATGGAACGCTTCTTCCGGACCGGTCAGACGCTACTGAAATATGTTTGTTTGATGGTTGTATATTTGTTACAATCATGACACGCATTCGGAACGCATAATATTTTACGCTCTATTGCGGCCGCGTGAACCAGAACGGATATATATCGCTGAAACTGATCGACATTTTGCAAAACGTAAACAGCTCGATAAAGCGATCTGGCCTGTCATATATGGGCTTGGGACTGAAATATGCAAAAATGAGTGTTTATTGAAGAGAACATGATCCAGAATCCTGCCGTATGAAACCTAATGAAGACACTGAAGGACAAAGAGGTTGGTGTTTATTCTTCATTGAAAAGAAACTAAGCCCAGATAGCACACATACTAATGCAAGATGTCTGTTAAAGATGTGGAGAGCATCTGCTGTGTAAACATCTGACAGACGTCTTTAAGATGTCAGTTTTACATACATTCTAAATCATAAACATCGTAAAGACATCTAATAAACGTCTATTTGACATCTGATAGGAAACGTCCTGTAGACATATTGCAGATGAGCAAACACTCTAAAACATACGTCTGGCAGACGTCAAATAGACGTCTCTGTGATGTACGTGTGATATCAGGGAGGTCTCAAAATAGTTACACCATCAAATAACATATGGACCGATACATGACAAAATGTCCTTGCACTTTACATTTACATTTAGTCATTTTGCAGACGCTTTTATCCAAAGCGACTTACAATTGGGGGATACATAAAGCGATTCTTCTTAAAGAGGCAAACAGATACAGGAAGTGCTTGTAATGCCAAGTTTTTAGACATTGTTCAAATAAGTACAAGCTAGAAAGAGAAGGAATAAATAAAGAGATATCTTTTTTTTATTTTTTATGATGAAGTCAGGTAGCTTCGAAAGAGATGAGTTTTCAGCCGTCGGTTGAAAATTGTCAGGGATTCTGCATTCCGGATAGGGGTGGGAAGATCGTTCCACCAACCAGGAACGGTGAACGAGAATGTTCTGGAAAGTGATTTTGAGCCTCTCTGTGATGGTACCACGAGGCGTCGCTCACTAGCGGATCTCAGACTTCTGGAGGGGACATTAGCTATGCAGCTTGAATTAATGTTTGGAACAGTAGAGGTGACGTAAAATGTGATACTTGAGTGTGTAGCTTTGTTTTTATGTATTTTCCCTTCCCAGTTTTACAACGTTCTGTTATGTCCATTCAGGCCTGATGGAGGTGAAAGAGGAATTTAAAAACCTGAATGAGGTGGAGGAGGAACATCATCTCTCCATCACTGGTGAAAATCCTTTGACTCTCTCACAAAACACAACCAGATTCAAGAAGTCTTACATCTGTCCTCAATGCGGAAAGTGTTTTGCAGGTAAATCACGACTCGAGCGCCACATAAGAATCCACACCGGAGAGAAACCGTTCGCGTGTCTCGTGTGCACAAAGAGTTTCGCGTGCAAAGAAAGACTCGACAGGCACGTAAAAATCCACACTGGAGAGAAGCCCTTCACGTGCGAGTGGTGCGGAAAGCGTTTGGCGTGTAAAACGAGACTCAAGAGGCACGTGATAACCCACACTGGAAAAAAGCCTTACGTGTGCTTGCATTGCGAAAGGAGCTTCACGACGAACACAAACCTGCAGCGGCATGTCAAACTCCACACTGGAGAAAGGCCGCACACGTGCCAAGAGTGTGGAAAGAGCTTCATACGCAAGGAAAAGCTCAGGTTTCACATGACGATCCACACTGGAGAGCGGCCTTACAGTTGCGAACAATGTGGGAAGAGTTTCCGACACATCAACGGTCTCAAAGATCACCAGCTCTCTCATGCCGCAGAGAGGTCTTTTAACTGTGATCAATGCGGTAAGGATTTTATTACTGCGTCTGCACTGAAGAGACACTTGAGAGTTCATTCGGGTGAGAAGCCTTTCTTGTGTTCTCTGTGTGGAAAGAGTTTTGCACGAGTGGACTGCTTTAAAAGGCATCAGGAGGTCCATAGTGGTGTGAAGGATCACGTGTGCTATGAGTGCGGGAAGGCTTTTATTACATCCGACCAACTCAAGCAGCACCAGAGGATTCACACTGGAGAGAAACCTTACAAGTGCTCACTTTGTGGGAAGAGTTTCGCTCAGTCGCCGCACCTGCAAGCACACGAGAAAAGCCACACCACTGAGAGCCATATGGTAATAAGTGATCAAATCATCTACTGACTCGCGTGGAAAATGCATGATCCACAGGTATCTTGGGAATCTGAATCCCAAAAAGAGTAAGAGTGGCTTTTTTGTTTAAACCAAACCTTTTGTTTCAACATTGCATCTGAATACGGTAAATAAACCATTCTATCACTAGGTCTATACTATGTGTTTGTCTTCATTAAAAATCACATGACCAGATGTCAACTCACTTTATTTCACTAACCCTGCAGTTTTCAACTGTGGAATAACTTAATCAGGGGTGTTATGCCATTTTCTATTAAAGCATTTGTTGATTTTAAATAATGCCTTTCTTTACGAAAATTAACCAAGGTTTTACTACAAATTAAACCCCCAAAAAAACATGGTTACTATAGTTAAACCATGGTAACCACAAATTAACCGTGGTTTTGCTGCACTAACCATATAGTTTAACCATGGTATTTGTAGCAAAACTGGTTATACAAATGGTAATCAATACGCCAAAAAAAAAAAACATGGTTACCACACTTTTACTACAATGAAACCATGGTTAATTGTCATAAGGGTTGTGAAAATTTGATGAATTATGACTGTTTTGATTATTACTATTGAATTATGGATACACATGGGCATCTCTTATAATCTTGCCGCTGATTTTTTATTTTTTTTTATGTGTTTGCAGCAGTTCTTTCCTCTTTATTTCGTTATCTGACA